GTTACTACCTATGGTTGCTCAATCACAACCTCTGGAGTTTCGACTTGTGGAACTGCATCAGGCTGTCGAAATTCAAACACCTCTGGAGTTCTGAATTGAGGCTGTTGAAATTAAGTCTCTCGTGACACTGCACCTGGATGTCGAAATTCATGCACCTCTGGAGATTCGGCTAGCGGCACTGCACATGTATGTCGAAATTAAGTCACTTGTATGGCATTACACGAGTCTCGAAGAGACCTGGCTTTTTGAACGGTGGCTCTTCTGTTTGCTGAACCAAATATACTGGCATGTGATCATGTGTGGGTGGTGGCAAAAGGAGGAAGAGACCACCAATTGACTGGTATCAAACACAGACTTTTGCATTTTGAAACTGGAAAAGGCATGAGAGTGAATAAACACGTAAAGGAACGTCCATGTTATGGAAAAGAGCATTCGGAACAAGGCAGAAAGCTCTCGATCCAAACAGCTTTCTTCACTAAACATGGGTAACGAACCAGCGTCTTTCAACTCTTGAAAATCACCTGGGTAGTCATCATAAAAACAAATATGTTTCATTTCTTCCACAGTGTCAATGGTTAAGTAGACGATAAAGATCAAGTAGTAAGTAAAGGACAGTAGATGCAGCACTTGTGTAGTCGTCAGTGTGGCTATAACGTTTTTTTCGATAATGCTTTCGTAATTGGGTAAAACTTTATCAGCTGCTGAATTTGAAAATTTGTATCTTTCACAAAAAAAATGCATTCAGTCTTTTCATCTGAACTATGTTTGTGTGGGGAAAGAGTCTTCCGATACTCATCCAATGTCAAATTTTCATAGCAAAATGGACAATGGATAATTTTATCCTTCCAATACTTGTATGACCAATACAATCTCCTTCCCAAAGGTGCTTTCGGTCCCATTTTCCCGATACTACCATTACACAGAAAATATAACAGATTTTAGATGACACGAAAACAAACACCATGCATCTCGGAGCATCGCAATGTTTTTCAGTATATATATATATATANATATATACACATTTAATTTTTTCTTAATTTTCCTTTTTTTTTTTTTGCAGAGATGGTTTATATTCAGTTCGTTGGTTCTTGCTGGCCGCAGTTCCTTAAAACATTTCCAAACGAGAAATTCTTGATGTTCTTCAGCTCAAAAAATTATTCCAGCCCGAGATACATGTCAGAAATTGTCTCGGGTCTTGATGATGTATTTTAGTGATCACGTGGTCCCCAGATCCAAACATGACATCATGCGACTTTTAGGAACCTTGTAGAAAGACCGAGTCATCTGACCACAGCGTCACGCAATTTCCGGCTTTGGAAGTATAAAAATAGCAGTTGTTCAGAGGCACAGGATATCGTTTCTCGAAGCTCTAACGTTTTCTAGAAACCTCTGAGTCAAGTCAGACTTTGTGGGTGGAGGGATGAAGCTCCACGGATACCGTGTAAATGGTCAGTTCCAAACAAGGAAGATGGCCGTCATTTCGATGGATATGCTAAAACCCATCCATGTTATATTTCAAGTGGATCCCTAGGTGACCATAAGAGACGTGAAAAGTGCAGAATATCTATTTAAGTACGGTCATGGACTATGCCTTTTTTCCAAAACCATCGAAAAAGGCTCCTTCACAAAGGTGTGAGGAAGAAATAATTTTGGATACATGCATGCAATTAAACAACCGTGCTGGAAGAAATGCCTTGACTCTGAAAGGAGGCTATAACGAAATACTGATTTTAAAAAAGTTACGCGTCCCAATGTCGACATTGAGAGATAGTGTTGCCCACGCTTAACATTCGAATTGAATAGTATTATGAATCTCCTTATACTTTTATATAGAAATTAAAATCTCTAAATTAATTTATTAAGTATGATTGTAAAACCATTAAGCTCAGTTTGAATTTATTATATGAGATTTTAAAATGTATAAAAATATTATTGTAAAATTATGTTTGTTTTTTGAAAAAGTTTTTATCATATCCTAGAGGACGGTATTGTTTTATAAGGGAATCTGATTTCCTTGTTGATTTTTTGTTCAACTGAAACTTCTTTTACATTTTTCCTGCGGCACTTTCATAAGTGCACTGTGGTGACAAACAAATAATTTCCTACAATTAGTTAGTAAAAAAATATTTGCAATCCAATAGAAGTACTAGTATTAAAGATAGATATTTTCGTAAATTTATTATTCCATTACTCATGGTACAACGGACAATTCGTAATCATTCACTTTGATTTTGATGGGAATTATGCATCAAAAATCAATAAAATAAACATCTTATACGACAATTGCTTAATTTCTTAGATGTCAAATAATAATTTTTTGGTTGTATAAAACATTTAACAAATAAAAAACATTAAAAATAAGTTATAAGTAAGTAGGCATAATACAGATCTTTCAGTTTCATTTCATTAAAATAGATGGCGCCACTAATAATAATGTTAAATTTAAAACTCAATTTTAAATAGATTTTAGTAACCCACAATAAATAAATAAAATATTAATTTAATTCGATAAACAAGAATTTAATTCAATAAATATCAAGTTAAAACTATTGAGTTTTCATTTCATAGTGGATATAATAGTAGAGCAAGGCAATTGAGCTTCGATTTCAATGATGTTCAATAAATTAGAGTTATATTAGCTTCCTAAGAATTCATGCATATGATAATCGTAAATTTAACGAAAAAGCATTTCCCATAAAAATTAAATACAAATTTTTTCTTAAAATAACTAAACGAGTTACTTATCAATAAACAAATCTTTCTCCTTGAGATTTGGAAGTTCTAGAATTCCATTTCGTATTTGTTCTCTAAATTCCTTTACCCACCTGTTGCAATCTTCTAAATTTAGAATATTGCTTCTAAGGGTAATAATATTTGATGAAATAGTTTCTATTTCATTTTTAAATGAAGAAGAAAGTTTCTCAGGCGAAAAAACTGACATTTCAAGTTTGTTGTCGTTGTTGACTTACGTCGCACCAGAGCTGCACAATGAGCTATAGGTGACGGTCTGGGAAGCATCCCTGTGGATGATCCGAAGACATGTCATCATGATTTTGATCCTCTGCAGAGGGGATGGCACCCCCGCTTTGGTAGCCCGACGACCGGCATGCGAAGTCGAGCACTTTACGGTAGAACAGTTTAACGAGGGCCAATACCGCGTACCCTCGGTTCCTAAACAGACTAATTTAAGTGGTCCCTCTCCCGCACACTGACCACAGCCAGTGATGCTTGACTTCGGTGATCTGCTGGGAACCGTGTCTTAACGATCACTCCACTGCGGGACATTTCAAGTTTGAAAAACAAAAGCTGGAGTACAGAAATCGCTCAATGCTGAAAATAACTAGCATGCGGAATGAAATTGGCGATCGAAATGGGCTGCAGGTGGCGTAGAGCAAAACTTTCTACCTATGGCAACACTTCGCAGGCTTTCCCCACTAGCGTGTGGAGAGTCAAGGAGGATTGTTGTTGTTGTAGTTCATTTACGTCGCACTGGAGCTGCACAAAGGGGTATTGGCGACAGTCTGGGAAACATCCCTGAGGATGATCCGAAGACATGCCATCACAATTTTGATCCTCTGCGGAGGGGATGGCACCCCCGCATCGGTAGCCCAACGACCTGCACGTGAAGTCGAGCACTTTACGGTTGAACAGTTTAACGAGGATCAATACCGCACATCCTCGGCCCCTACGCAGACTGATCCAACTGGACACCCACCAGCACACTGACCGTAGCCAGTGATGCTTGACTTCGGTAATCTGTTGGAAACCGTGTCTTAACGATCAGTTCACTGCGGGACGAATCATAGAGGAAGGAAGTACGTTAGTTTCTCTCTTGATTTTCATATAGATTAAAATCTTTTAAGTTGGAAAACTATATGGGACTGAAAATTACTTTAAACATAGTTCTAAGGAAAAGCATCACGTAAATTTAAAAAAATATTTTCATTAAATAAAAAGGAAAAATATTAAGAAAAGGGGAAACCGGTCTCTCCCCAGATGGCGTATTTGAGCGTTGCGATCGCCTATAGCCCTACGTCACAGAAGGCGCTGACGAGAAGTCCAATCTCCGCTCTCAAAATCTCTTGGGGGATACTATAGATGTAAAAAGAGTTTAAATAATGCCACGTGGCCGAGCGGTTAACATACCTGACTGCGAAACCAGTCGCTGAGGGTTTGAATCCCGCTCTGGGTATGGATGTTTCTCTCTCTGTGTTGGCCTCTGTTGTGTGAATGTGGTCCACCATATGAACGGGTATCTGTGGCAGTGTGGCGTGGCTAATGTTGCTCGCCTCCGTGACTTAGATTCACAGGTGCCTATTGGGTAACGTTAAATGAGCAACACTTCTAGCATTTTCTGAGGTGAAGAACGAATGTTCAGTATTCGCGATCGCAACACTCGAATACGCCATCTGGGGAGAAACCGGTTTCATGCTTTTAGCCCTTCTCCCTTCCCTCTCCTCCTCTTTTCAGTTGTATAGGAATGTACTACGATAATTTCCCTTTTCTTAATATTTTTCCTTTTTATGTAATAAAATAATTTTTTAAAATTTCTATGATACTTTTCTTTAGAACTAAGTTTAATGTAGTTTTCAGTTCCATATAGTTTTTTAAGTTAAAAGATTTTAATCTATGTGAAAATCAAGAGAGAAACTAACGTACTTCCTTCCTCTATGACTTTCCACAGGCTAATGGGGAAAGCATGTGAAGTGTTGCCATAGGAAAAGAGTTCTGCTCTACGCCACCTGCAGCCCATTTTGATCGCCAATAATTGGAAAAAAAGAGAAGCATAAAAAATATACAGTGTAAACAGGCCTTAAATACTGCAATATACAAAAGCTGTAAGCATACTGCAATAAGTTCGTCACCATTCCAATCCAATCAAATGCCATAAAATCGCCGGCAGTCTTTGACAAGTTTCGTTTTATTCTCTACAGTCTCTTTGTTTTCTTTGCTACGCTTAATTATGCCAGTAAGTAATATTTGTCAGGAAAACGTTTGAAAATATTTCTAACAAAGCTGCTGTAATTTTTTTAAAGTTTATTTTAAAAGACTTCAAGCTTAAATTCTGAAAATAGACAATTAAATGAATAAAACAATCTATAAACAATTAAATGAATAAAACTAGGCCTACAATAATGAATGATCCTAGTACGCCATGGATGATAGTTATAATTACATAAGGGAAGATTTACCAAAGCATTGCTGAATTTTAGAGACTGACCATTGGACAATGAGACATTAGAGAAACGAAAAAACATCACTAGAGGAGATCAACTCGAATCGTATTACTCATAGCCACGCCATGATAAATCACAACATATTTTATTTTTACAACTTGAAAACCCATTGGCGAAGATAGTCTGAGTTAGCGGGCATAATCCCCTTACATAACAAAATTTATGCTCACATAAATGCACATATTGCTCTGGATGAAGTAATGATAAAAAAAAATTAATTATGAATGCTTATTCAAAAGTAAATATCGTTGAAATGTAAATATAGTGTTACATTTTATGGTTATCTAAAGATATTCATTTGCTAACAGCTTTACTTCATAAATTAATGTTATATAGGACTGAAGTGAAAACTTTCTTAGAGAAATTTCAGATTTTTTTTGAATGTTACTTAGAACTCTTTTTTTTTTTTTTTAACTATGCTCTTCATGTGTGGTTCAATCAAAGTTATAAAACTTCTCATTAGTTTTTTGAAAAACAGTTTTGTAATGTAATTTGATTATGCGTTTCTTTCAGAATTGGATGAGAGGTGATATTGTGTGGGCGAAAATGGGTGGTTTTCCTTGGTGGCCTGCTATTGTAATAGATCCTAAAGACTGTGGTAGAGATGATGATAACAACGAAGAAAAGTTATGGTTATTCTGGTTTGGTGATTACAAGGTGTCTCAGGTACTATTTGTTTATTTTTCTGAATACTGGGAAGATTTCTATAACAATACCTGTGCCAAAAATATTCTCCAAGTTCTGGAGAATTTAGCCTTGATTCCTACTCACAAAGGGGTGCCAAATGGTCCACAAAACAAAAAATTGCTGTTTAATTTTTATTATAATTGATTTCTGGAAAATATATTTTAAATGTAGTGCCTGTGTAATATAATAAATGTTAATTCATAAATAAAAAAGGACACTAATAGTCTAAATCAAACTGTAATAATATATTCATAATAGAAATGGCACGTCTTTTCAACTGGCAGGGCTGACTCGATCTGTGTCTATCAGCACTTCCTTATGGCATCTACGCTGTGTGGTTGCATAAATTATCTCATAATATGTTATAATAAATATTTGCAGTGTACAAAGTACAAACATTCTTTCTTTTAGGACACTATTTATTTTTATCTCTATAAACGCAATGTAGCTTACGCTTGTTATTTTAAAACAATAACACTCTAAAGTACTTATATGTACAGTCACAGAAAAAAGTGTCCGGAAAATAACAACTAAAGGATTGTCTATTTTTTAATATAGATACTTCTCAGACACACAACAAATACGGCGTTTTGTTGTTTCTAGGAAAGGATTTGTTGTGAGGCCGTATTTGTTGTGAGCCTGAGAATTATCTGTTTTTTTAAAAAAAAGATTCTTTATTTGTTACTTTCCGGATACAATTTTCCGTGACACTTGCGACAGGTTGTGGAAGTCTGCAACAAATTAGTGAAATACCCGAAGTAGTAACGTTTCAGTTATTTTGAGTGTGTATTTTTCAGTTTTGCGTCCTTGTCATCGCTCTCTGCTTAGAATAAAAATGAAATGTTATATGTTATAACTTTAATGTCAGCTTAAATTATAGTGTATATTTCACTGTGTTACTACCTTTCAAGTTCAAGGCATTCTGGGTAAGTAATAAAACAAATAAGATTACTTATTACATTTACTCGACAATTCTATTATTCAGTGAATAGAGTATGAAAAAATTTGTTGTTCTCATATTTGTCACCACATATTCAAAATGAATTCATTCATCTTCTAGCATCTACAGTTCGAAATCAATTAATAAACGATGTCAAAAGAAATAAATATTATGAACTTTTGTTTGATTAAACTTCTGATATCTCTCATCGAGAACAAATGTCCCAAGTCGTTAGGTATGTAGATGTTGATTTTATCAATAAAAAAGTTTCCATCAAAGAATCTTTCTTTGGGTTTTATTGAAATGCATGCTAAAGATGCAGCCTCTATTGGAAATACAATTTTAGAGAAATTAAATTTCAATGAAATTTCATTAACAAACTGCAGATCACAGTGTTACAATAATGCTGCCGTGATGGCAAGTCACACATCTGAAACGCGATGCAGCTCCAGAATACAAGCGGTTAGTGTTGTTGTCTATGGGCTAGAGAATATAGGAAAAATTAGCAGAGGACACTACCACTACAAGTGACACCAGAAGTGAAGCTACAATTCTGTTGCAAAATATACTAACTTTTAGTTTCATAACTTTAGTTCAATTCTGGTAGGAAATCTTAAGGAGGATTGATCGTGTGCAGCTCAGATTATAAGATCCTAGAATGAATTTTAGAGAAGTGTTCCATGATCTTGAATCATTAGCGACTGAACTAGCCGAAATTCGAGACAAGCACTGTGAAGAGGCAATAGAAAAAGCAGAGTCTCTTTGTGAAAAATGGGATATGGATACAACAATACGTGCCTGGAGAATTGGCTAGAGATGGTGATCTTCGCGACTGCTTGATTCGTCCTAGATAGTTTCAATGCCTCATCATTTTTTTCCGCATCTTTTACATCATTTTGTTCAGCTGTGCAATTATAAATATGTCTAATTCATTACCACAATTTCAAATATCCTTTTTTTGATAAAATCTGACTTTTCCCCTCTTCATCTTAACTATCATTCCTTTTAACTTAATCTCCGTGCTTAAAAGTGTGATGTCTGATTATTTTCAATTGCTACCAAACTTTGTGATGAAAGCTTGGCAGTAATTGAAAATGATGTTATTTACCAAAAATAGCCTGTACAAAAAAAAAAAAAAAAAAAAAAAAAAAAAAAAAAAAAAAAAAAANAAAAAAAAAAAAAAAAAATCTCTGTTCCAAAGAGTGTCATTCATGCAAATTCAAAAGTATTTGTGTTTTACTCTTATGTTGATTTCTTCATGGATAACTATTAATGATTATTATACAATATTAATTATTGTTTTACAGATGCCCCTAGATAAAATTAATGATTTTAAAGAAGAGTATGACACACATTTTCTGAATGGAAAAGGAAAAAATTTTAACCGTGCTGTTCAAGAAGCATTAACTGTAAGTTTATTGTTAGTATATTTCTTTACATGTTTGTAGAAAGAAAGAAATTGTTTTTGTGAAACAGTTACTGAATTTTGGGTCACTGAATTTACGGATGTTTTGTGAACAGTTACTAATTTAATTCCTTTTATTTGGTATTTAAGTTGCTATGTATGGCTGTTAAAGCATAGTTCATGGATAGTAAAAGCAAAATTAAACGAAGTCATGTTAAACTAAATTATATCTATGCTTAAATAAAAGTATTTTCATTGAAAACATTATACACATCTCATACTGATAAAAAAATCTTACCCTTACAGCACTACATTTAAATGCCTGGAATTTTTGGTTGTATGTGTGGCATAACTTTTCATCTATAAATTTTTTAATAAATGTATTGTAAAACCTTCAAAAAATGTTGTGGAATCTATGATTTAAATGTTCCTGCTTCATTTCATAAAGATGAAAGTTCAATATTTATTATATTAAAAACACGAGAATTACTTATTTTTTTATCAGTGCAGAAGTCCTGCTAGTGGACAAACCAAGCTGCTTATGGGACTCATTTTTGTAATTGGCAAAAAAATATAGTAAATTTAAATTTTTACCTCCTTGATATGCCAATCTCATCAACTGTTGTAAAGAAGCTGCTTAAAAGGCCATAGGTTTGCCATAATTAAAGGAATACACTTTGAATTTTTTATTTATTAAACATTAGCTGGAAAAAATTGTGTTGATTTTTAATGAAGAAAAAGACTACTTCTCAAAAGCGGCTTATATACTCAACTTATAATTTGCATAAAAATTGATTAATTTAATAATGCTTTGAATAATTGGAGAAAAAATATTCAAAATTTATTTGTATGCAAGACACAGTCTTATTTATTGAATTTGGCATGTGTAAATGGCTGTCTTATTATGCCATTAGGAAAATATTCTTTATTTTAATTTTTCTCACTCCAAAGACATTGATATTGTCTAATTCATGTGTATTGAAGAAGCCTTGTGAAGTTATGTTTTTTCATTAACAGGTATTAGCTGAAAATTATAATGAAAATTCCCTTAAATCTTCTAATTTATTTGATTGGGCTGCTAAGGGATTCGAGAACCAAGGTCTTTTCTTACCTGATAAAGTAAAAGGTAATTTAGAATTTTTTTTTAGTTGTAAGTGTAAACCATGTTTTCAAATGAGTTTTTAGAAAATGATTGTCTTTTCAAGGTTAGTGCTATCAATATTCATTGTAACAACTTTTGTCACTGATACAAAGATCGGTATTATGTTACATGTGCAAATATAAATCGCTAATATTTACTCATAACTTATAAAAATGAGACTAATTAATAATGTAAAATAATTTGTATTTGACAAAAAATCACAACCACCTAAGATAACTTAAGTAGTGCTCTTATGATCCTTCAGAGTCATTAAAATCTCCTTAAATTTTATTATAAAAATCAAGGAGCTTAACGGTACTTAATTCTTATTCAAGATTCTCAAAGCTCTTAATTTTACTAACAAAGCTTTAAAGGTAGAATATTTAAAAGAAGACAGCCACATTACTCAAAGGATGATTATTGAACCAATAAAAAAGGTTTGAAATGTACATGATGTACCCATCATCAAGTCACACACATTAAACCTTTGATTCAAATCAATGTGCCTTATGAAAATAGTTAATGAAATCTTCTGAGTGCCTTATGAAAATAGTTTAGATTAGATAATCAAAAGATGAAAGAACTATCAAATAATAAATTAAAATTATTAACTGAGTATATTGATTTCCTCTAAGACAAAAAAAAAATGCTTTCATGAAAATGTGAAAATATGCCTTAATCTTCTGATTCTCTTTGCTGTTGAAAAAGACAAGAAAAGATCTTTCACTGTTTTTCATTGAATGCCTGGTCAAACAAAGTAACAGAAAAAGTTTTAAGCTTGAATCCATAAAGATAAATATTTCTGAAAAATGAGAGGAATTTTATAAATGTGTATATTTTAGTATGTCTGTCAAGCATTGCATCAGACTTTGGAAAACACAGATCCTTATTACCCAGGGCTTTTGAATTTTATTTAATTATTTATATTATTTAAAATAATTAAAATCTGTACTTGAAAGATTAAATTTTTTTTAAAAAAATTTATCTCTGTAGGGAATTATCCGTCCCAGAGAATGCATCATAGCTTCTTTTTCGCGTCCCCTCTATGGTTTTCGGTGTATTTCATATGCTATGGATTGTTGACCATGTAAAGCTAAGTACAGATAGAGCTTGGGGTTAAAGTTCGTCGTAATATTTCTGGGTTACTACTTTCGATTGATTTTTGCATCTAAGCTTGAAAAAAGGCCCCATCAAATGTTATACTTGTAGTGTTTACAATATAACAGGTTCTTTCAATTTAAATTTCAATGAAACAATCAACATATAAATTTGGGAGACTCCACAAGCATGCTAATGCCCTGCAAGATGCAACTAAAAAAATAACCGACAGTGATATTTTACTAAAGTATAGCCGATCAGGGATAACATTCAAAACATGGCAAACTTTTTTTTTTTTAATGGCAGGCACTTGGAGCTATTGTCCATTGGCCCCAGAAAGTGCCAGAACTGCTAATTCTCTTTTCGTTACCCAGTGGGCACCTGTGGCGAAGCCACGGCGGTGGAACAGCGTCGCCCACGTCACACTACCACAACCCGTTTATAGGGCGGGTCACATTCACACACAAAGGAGAAAGGACATAGAACACCGATAGAGGGAAAGAAACATCCATGCCTTGCCCGGGATTCGAACCCAGAACCTTTCTGATGCAAGGACAGTTCCCTGCCCCCTACACAGACTGGTCGGCACATGGCAAACTTTATACTTTATTTATGTTGTGATATTAATTTTCTTGAATTTGTTTTAGGCTCACAAGCAGTTAGAATTTAAAAATTACAGGAAACTCTTATGAATGGTAAAATTACTCGTGAATTTAAACATAAATCACAACAAAACTTCTTAGAATATTAAGCCTGTTCACACATCGCCTCGCAAGCCTAACATAAACGGAGGGATATACCGGGAGTTTTCTTAATTTCTGACAGTTTTAGGAAGCTTGTTATTGTTTACTTTCAGACAACCATTCATAGCTCATTGTTGGAGAATTTAGCAAATAGTCCATAAGCTAAGAAAATAGTTGAGAAGAGATGGGCTGTGTTTTCCCCTCTGCTGTGTCACTTCCTGAGTGGATGCAACTTGAAAGAAGTGGTTGTGTTCTCTGTTAGTTCTTATGTTCTGTCTTCTAGCTAGATTTTTTTTAATATAATTTGTTTTTAGAGTTTTTATTTTCCTTTCAATAATTTTGAAGGTTATTTCAATAATTTTGAAAGTTATATGAAATAGTATTGCAGTTTTCTATGAGTTAGAGTTTTGTTTCAGTTTTAGAATGAGTAAAATGTCTGCATCTTTTTGTATATAGGTCCTACCTTCTTAACTTTTTTAATGTTTTATTTTCTTCCAAGATTGGTTATGGACCAAAGACATTAATATTTTGAAGAACTGGAACATAAAATAGCATTGCTACCTGAAGGCTTTGAATAATTAAGTCATAACAATTGGGATAAGGGAAAGACAGACATAAAAGTTTTGTTATTAGTTAAAGGCTGTTTGAAATTTATAGAAGATAAAGGAGAAGAGTTAGAAGTTTCAACTTCAAGACTGGAAAAACAAGGTTATGAATTAAGAAAACACAGATAATTTTCAACACTGAACTGTGCAATTAAGCCATAGTTCAGACTGCCTTTTCAAAATTGTTTGATTGAAAAAACTTCTACCTCCTAAACTCTCAGATATAGTTTAGTTAACATTAAACCAGTCTTTTGACTGGTTATGGTATGTTTAGTGTTAATCTATCATTGGGGAGATGAAGATTTACTATTGATAAAATTGCTCAAGAACTGAAAAGGGAAGAAAGCAGACTTACAGAAGTGAAAGCTGATAATATTAGTCCTGATGCTAGTATTTTCAATATTTCTTCTACTAGTAAAGATGTTATGAAAAGATATGCAGACAGGAGAAAATCTTAAAAAAAGTAATGCCAGAAAATAGTAGAAAAGTCATTGGTCCATGTGATCACTGCCATAAATATGAACATTTAATTATAAATTATAGTGATAGATATGCCAGAAATATAAAGTCAAATTGGAAGAAACAGAAAAGGAATTTCAATGACCTGTCAACTGCATTAGTTGAGACTTATACCTCTCAGACTGTGGAAGTTAGGGAAACTACTACTCGAAACGATGATGGGATTTGGATTTAGCTGCAACTACACATTTCTGTAAAAGCAAAATGTTATTGTCAAGTTATGCAGAAACAATTATTGTAAACATGACTCTGGCTGTATGGGATCCTTCTAGTAAGATACTAGGAAAAGAGACTATTGATTTTTCACTTCAACTGGATGAAATGAGTAATATAACTTTTGACAAATATTTTGTGTAACCCAAGCATTCACAGAAACCTTATATCTGTTTCTCTCTTAGAAGCTACTAAAGCTTAATTTGTAGGAGCTAAGAGAAAAATATGAGTATATATTCAAATGACTAGTTGAAATTATTTTATGCCGCCAGAAGAAATGGGTTATACTATCTGTAGTCATACAAATATAAGCCTGGCACTCCAAAAGCAGAAGACAGTGGATTTAATGTAGGCACTTGTAAATCTGAAACAGATATAGCTTTGTTATAGCATAGAAGATATTCTCATATTAATTTTGACTTTTAAAGAAACTAGCAAGAACCAGAGTGTAAGGGAATTACCTAATATAGAAAAACCTGATGATAATTGTGATACTTGCTTTATTGTTAAATTCAATAAATGCAATTATTTAAACCACTTCTAAGTCATACTTCTCAGCCACTAGAAATAGTGTATATGTATACTCGTGGTCAATTCCAAAAACTTCAAAAGAAGTAACTAGGTATTTTCGGCAATTATAGATTACAGTCATGCAATAGTTTTATACCTTGAATCGTTAAGCAACAAAGCATTAATACTCCCATAACGTTTTCATTTTTTTTTAGAATAAATTCAGGTATTAATCTTAAAAAAAGAAAATAACAATTTGCTGCCAAAATATGCATTTTATTTTTTTAGGTAGCCAAGTTTAAATATATAAATAAAAGCTTGTTAAGTTTTTTTTATAAAAATTGAAAATAAAAGCTTATGGTAGAAAATACAATGTTGGCCAAAACAAAAAAAGATGGTTGCGACATAAATTTGAACATTAAACTTAAAAAAAGATTGAAAGAAACTTTTTTTTTTCTTAACACATTGTTTTAGTCTGTGTGCGCTTAAGTTTAATATAACATCAAAATCTCAAATTTTTTTAACAATAAAACCTTAAATTTAAAAAAAAAAAATTCCATTCCTGTATTAAAAGCCTTGCTTTCATGTGATGTAAACTTTCTTATGATTATAATTTGTGATGACATTAGCTTTAATGAATTATTTTCCCCTGGGAATTTTTTGTTTTCAATTCATATTTCAGGGATTTTTGTTTTATTGTATCTATTAATTATAACCTAGTCACAAACGTTTCAGATTGTTGTACCTTATTTTCTTTATATAAGATTGATTAATTTTTATTACAACTGTCTGTGAATGTTATCAAAATTCACTTCTTTTTCTGAAATATATTTTTCAATACAGTTCGACCACAAAAATCTAAATTCTAAAATCCGGAAATCTCTAAAAACAGGTCTCCAGCTGAGAAAAAAAATTTCCAAATTGATTTTTAAAAAAAACTCTTCAGATCAGAATTTAAATGCAAAAGTACGAAACCTTGACTCTAGTTTCAAAAAACAAAGCAGGGGATGATGATCTGGAAGTGAGGAGTGAATAATAACACTTAGCTGATAAGGAAAATCCAGTCATTCACATGGAGGATGTAGAAATAAGGTTGTGCTTGGAGATAAAAATTATTCTATTTTTGCCCTTTTTTTTCTACCGTGAGAGGTGATAAATATTAAAGTATATTCTAATTGTGAAGCTTTGGATCTGAAGGAAGAGACAAATACTTTAATTTCTTACCATAAACAACAAAAAAAAGATTATCAGTAGATTTATTCTCTTCCAATTCCAGTCTAAAAGCACATATTTCAGCTATAAATTAATCATTTTGAATTCAGCTACATTTTTTTTAAAATTGATAACAGTGTTATGTTATCTAAACAATCAGTTACTGGAAAAAATGGAAGCAAAAGCTCAATTTGCTGAATAATCTATAGAATGGGTGACTAAGAAGTGAGAAAGTGCCTTTGACTGGCGGGATTATTAGGGCACAAGCAAGAATCTTCCACGAAGACATGAAAATCGAATCACCTTGTGAATATTCTTCAGGATTGTTAGACAAATTTAAGAAACGAAATGAAATAAACCAACTGAGAATTTGTATGGAAAAGGTGTCGGCTGTTGAACCATCAATGAATTTTCCCAATTTGCTGATTTTTTATTTTATTTTATAACCGTCATTGAACAGCCGACTCATTGTTTCGGGTTTACTACTAACATTCAACTCCGTAGCCTTGTAATTTTGAACCCAATCCAGAAGACAAGGAAACTCCTGGATCAAGTATTGGGAGGAATTTGCCTTTGTGGAGGACTCTTGGATGAAACTAACTGGCATTGCGTTACATGGAGAGGAAGATCACGAGAACCTCCCATATCTAGCCTAACGGCAAGGGGACTCTCGCCCATGATCCATCTATCACTGAGGATTTTTCACGTTGGCAAGCCGGATGTGGATTTTATGTCAACCAGCCATCGCTGGGATTCAAACCGAGTTTACCTCATTGGAAGATGAACGCTCTATCCCCTGAGCTATCGCGGTTCCCAATTTGTTGATTAGAATAATTTATCTATGTAAACGTAAAAACTCTACCTGTCGGGTACAATGAAGGTGAACAAGCTTATATGGATTATATAAGAATTGACAGAAGAGTGGTTCAATTATCATTTCGTTCCAAAAGCTCACTGCAGTGCTGTTCGGTTACCAAGTGATGCAAAGATTATTCTCTTATTGGGCAATTGTACAACACATCCTCTTGCTGATGTTTTATCTGAGTCAGGAATTCAAGTAGTATACTTACCTCCAAATTGCAGTTATTTAATTCAATGAATGGATAATGGAGTATTAAGATCTTTAAAGTGCAAGTATGAAAAAGAGTTTTTGTTGAAAATACTGGAGTCTATCAATCAAAGCAAAGCAGCTCTGAACTTCTAGTGGAGTTTGACATAAAGGATGCCTTTTAATGCATTGCATATGCATGGAACAATATTACGCCTGAAACATTACAATATGCTTGGCTCAATTTGTTTTCGTAAGCAGTTTTCTTTGTAAATGAAAATTATTTTGAAGGTTTTAGATTTTAAAAGCCTGAAACTTGAATTGAATGAACTGCTCGATTATGTTAAAGTGTGTGTTTATAAAATCGATCAAGATGGTATTGAGGAAGTCGTGTATTTCGATGACGAATGGCCATAAGTTGCATGACTGACAACAAAGTAAGAATGGCTGTTATAAGTAATGACCCTGATAAAAAAAGAGAGCGATATGAAAGAGGAAGCTCTAAATGGAAAAAGAATCAGTTATATTAAAGGAAATGTTAAGAAATCTGAACAGTATCTGAGGTTTAGAGCAAAGTAACATTGTTGATGAACATGAGTTAATACTACTTTATAAAGTGAAGAAAAATTAGTAATTATTGAGTGAAATCTATGAAACATTGATATGTTTAAGAAATAAGTTTATTTATAAGCTGCATTTATACAAAGTTGTTGCAATCAACATCAGACGTCTGCTTATGCTGGTTTAATCACAGAATCGGTCCAAGGACATCAGAACTTTAATTATTCTTTTGGTTTAAGTAAGTTTTTAAAATTCAGAAATTTCAAAAATCCGAGCAGTCAGTATTTTAAAGGTCATACTGTATTAGCTTTGTTAACTTAAAACTGAACTTTTCCTGTAAGTAAAAGTAAAGTATTTCCTCTACAACCAGTTGTGGACCAATGGGGTCATGGAGGTTCGTGACCAAGGGCATGATTGTGGTAGTCAGCATTGTGCACATTTTATTAACTGCAACATGAAAAAGATGTTTCCTTGATAATGTAGAAAAACAAAAAGTTTTTGGCAGGACCTATCTTTCTTAAATTTCTTGCTTGTTTTTACGCATTTAATATATATAGATATATATGAAAGATTCTTACTTTGTTCTGATTCTGTTTATTTTGTCAATGCCTAGATTAAATAAAAAAATTCATTTCAAGTTTTTACTATCCTTAGAAATTTAAGGAATAAAAGTTATGCCATATTTTTATCAATTTTCTTATAGTTGTTAAACTACTCCTTTTTATCAGGACTTCCTAAAATGGTGTCAGAGTCTCTCAACAGAAAGGCATTCAAGAGAAAACTTATTAATGATAGTGATCAAGAAGATGATAGTGATGAAGATACTATGGAAATGGGTACTTCATTATTGCATTACTTCTCTATCTTTTGTAAGGATTTTTTTTGTAATGATTTGATTTTTGTACTTTTTGGTCAAAAATTTTTTTAAATTTGCTGTACTTTTTATTTACCTATATCCCTGACTTAAGCGTGCATATATTGTGGGATGGTACAGGATATTGAACACCTCAAAGGATATTGCCCTAGGTACCGAACGCTTCATGTTAAATAGATGGAAGTCAACATCTGTGGTGTGTTAGTCTAGACTGCTGGAGGGTCATAAAACAAATTATAAAGCAAACCTTAAAAGATCTGCTTGCCCCAGGCCAATTTTATCCTATGCTTTGATATCTGACACTGTAATGTGCCCCACTTATTTTAATACATAATTATCGCTTTTAATTACTCTTCAATGATTTTAAGTGATTGATTTTAGCTAACTGTACCATTTTTGTGATGGTTTTTAGCATTTTTTAATGATTTTACAACATGTTTACTATTTTAATATTTAATAACTTTTTGAATTGTTTATGATGATTTTGGCACTAATTCTGTTTGGATTTTAAACGCTTCAATTTTAACTATTTCTACCTGATACCTTTTATTATGTTTTTAATGGTTTTTGAATTTTAAAACTATTTTAGTGAATTTTTATACCGTTAGGCATTTTATCCTGCACAATAGACTATGGAAATAGTAAACTATTGCACAAACTTCCTCTGATTTTAAGAACTGTTAAATTAATAAAGTGTTCACAATTGAGCGAATTCTTATTCTTAAATTTTATCATTAGGTTTTTTTTCTCCTAATAATAAGGGGAATAATATTTTAGTATTAGAATATCTAATCAATCAAACATAAAATATGTATTAGAAAAAAAAATATTATTGCTGAAAATATAGAAAACGAAAAAATTTGACAGTTATGAAAATATTAATCCGCCATTTTGAACTAGAACGATTCAGGCAGGAAGGGGAAATTCACTTCATTCTGGAACAAAGCTTAAAATGATCTAAATCTAAGAAGCAAAAATAAATAAACATTATTTTTATGGGGAATAATGTTCTAGTATTAGATTATCCAATCAATCAAATATGAAATATTAGGGAGAAAAAAAATTATTGCTTAAAATATAGATAAAAAAAAATTTGACAGTTATGAAAATAATAATCTGCCATTTTTAACTAGAATTATTCAAGCAAGAAAGGGAAATTCCTGTCATTCATTAAGGTGGGTAGGTGGAGGAGAAAAATTCATTTCCTCCTTATTTGTGAAAGAAAATAAGTGTAGAGAGGAGATCATTTAAGTTGAGGGTGGGGAAGTGACAAATTACTGTTTTCTCTCAAATCATTGGCTATCAATCAAGCATAAAGGGGTACGCTGATGGAGTTCTCTTTATTTTTTCTTGTATGACTGAAAGAATCTGTTAAAGAAAGAATGTTACCCCCTTTTCCCCCCGCCTCCTAAATATTACATGGTCAGGGGAAGAATGAATGTTTCTCGAGGACATGTATCCTTTTAGACCTATTCAAATGTTCCATTTTGACTCCCCCTCCACGTTAATGCTTGCAGCGTTTACCCTTTTCTTCCAATAAAAAGGTTCCATGAAATGCCTCTTTTACTAGCCAGCTGCATAGGAAAAGAGAGGGGAGGGGACGCAGTTGCGTTCTTTTGAAAACAAATCTCCCTCTTTTCCTGCATTACAGAGTAGGAGCGTCGCTAACAATCACTCAATGGTCTTGGTAGATCTTCTCTTCTTCCCCTTTGTGATTTATGGGTTCAATGCATATATCAGGGGTTCAGTGCAAGCTAGAAGAGAAAACGTGTCAAAAGACCTTTTTTTTTTTTTAAAGAAATGGGAAGATGAAGAGATGTTTGTTTATTTTGATTGTTGAAAAGTTTCCGGGAAATCGATCCTTCCGGAAAAGGGGTGTCCGGATATGAGACGTTGCACTGTAATTGATCTAGCTCTTGTGTCTACAGAAATTTTATGTAAGAAGAATAAATTATAAAAAGTATGTGATTTTTAATTTAGTAAAATATAACAAAGAATTAGTTAATCAAATGTAAATTAAAAATACTTAAATATTTTGTTTTAATAACAATGTATATTGTGCACTGCTGCATTAAATTTATAGTATACTGAATATTGTTTGCAGTTACATAAATTGATTCATGAATTAGCAAAATTAAACATGATTTGAACTGACTAAATTGTCAAGATAGAGGATTTTAGACAGAGGGAAACATGCAGTGTTGTTACTAAATTTTGTCTGAAATGTTGTTAGGTTTAAATTATTTCTTAATATTCCTAATCAGAGAGTTTCTTGATGCTTAATTGTTACTACTGTAAGTGTAATGGTGCATTCTTTTTAAAAATCCTATTAAACAAAGTTGCCACTGGTGAGAAAAATCAGAGAAAGCAGGAGATTAGTATTAAAATATTGTAAAAATAAGGGTAAGAGTTTAAGTTGTGTTCAAAATATTTGAATATCCAATATTCTTTCAAAACTTTTTTTTACGAATTCTGAAATGTTTTTTTTAAGGCTTGATTTTGGTTTATTTCATATAAAATAGAGATATACTTGATATATTTTTATGTTGAAACTACTCATTTTTCTTACTTAGAAAATTTGCTGCCTGATGTGTTAAATGGAATCAAAAATTTAGAAGGTAACATTTTTTAATATCTTTTGTTAGTGGTTAGAAAAACTTATTTTGTCATTAACTGCAACTACTTTAGGACAAATGTAGTGAACTACAACTATTTTTTTTAATATATTGATTACAAACATTTTTGAAATGTAGTCACTACTTAATTACTTTTATGAGACAAATTTCGCTGAAAGTTTTAATTTGTACTCATGTTCAAAACTGAATAAAAAGGTGAAGATGGAAGGAAAAAAATCATAAAAAAATGGCTTAGAGTAATAAATTGACTTATTTAAACATGAGGAATGATTGATTAAGAAAATTCATATTAAAATGCTTTAAAAAATTTTGAATCAATGATTTTCTATTTTTAAATCTTCTGTTTTAAAAAAAATCAGTCTTGCAAATCTTTTTTTAAATCAATAGTTTAAAACGTGGAACATTGTTAATATTTGGCCAAGGCAATATGTACAAAGATTTGACAAATCAGTATCTAAGGAGTTTATATTACTTGTGTATTTTTATTTTTTAGATATTTGCATTAGCTGCTTTAAACCTAGTGCTTGCGTGGTAAAAAAACATCCATATTTTGTTGGTGGATTTTGCCGGACTTGTCAAAGAATTGTTGAAATAGCTTGCGACATTCCATTTGGAGAGCTCCAGGTATATTGATTTTTATAAGGAAAGTTTTTGTTTCCTATAATATTTTATGAATGTTTTCGACTAATTACCTGTGTAAATAAAGTCACCAAGAATTTTGGTGACGCTAAGAACGTAGATTTCACAATCTGAGTAAATTTCTTGTCACAAAAACAAACTTTCTTTTAAATTTATTGAACACTTTTCTGGTTTCAAAATTTTATTTACTCTAAATCTGAAATATGAGACCCTTAATTGATTTATTTTTGAGTTAAAATGTGTAGTCTTTATCTGACTATCTTTATGCCGGGTGCGTAGTGTTTTTAAAAAGTGCTTGAAGATGCTAATTTTTGATTTACGTTTTTTAAAATCTCTTAAAGGTGCTTTTTTCTTCAGGTGTTTTTAAAAAGTGCTTAATTTTTCCTTTTTCATAATTAAATTTTTCCTTTACCATGTTTATTTTTGTTATGAATTATGCAAAACGACACAGTTCACATTGTTCTATTCAACCTTTTCACAATTAATTCAATCCCTATCTATTTCAGCGTATTGTCAGTCCGTAGCGTATGAAAACGCCATCCGTTTTACATGATTTAAAATTTCATGGTTTTTGACAATTGACAGTTAAAACTAAATAAAACCGTCAATTATCAAATAAACTTTCCAACCTTGCCTAATTAAGATAGTTATTCATTGAAAAGGACTGCCCAGAGCCAGAGTTTTATTGTTCTGCACCTTTCACTTACAAAGTTTCATTTTATAAGGTACTATTTACAAATGTATTAACATGGAGAATAAAAACAAGTTGTGATCTTATAAATAAATTATACAGTTTATCAAATAATTCTATTTAAACCTTACTTTGTTAAAATTAGTCAATATTTTTTAGATTTGAATAAATGTTTATGGTTTTTTGTGCACCTGCAATGTATGTGTCTTTATATTGAGCATTGACTTTGCATATACATCAAAATTTGAGATAGCTACTAGAAATGTAATTTTTTTTAAAATCATTGTATTATTGCTTACTTAATTTTTGTACCAAATATTTTAGGATTCCTGTGCAGTGTGTGGCCAAGGTGGACATCTCATTATTTGCAGTAACTCAATGTGTTTAAAGTAATTCTTTGTATTCTTTTGCATAAAACTTTTGAATCTAGATTCTTTTTAATGTCATGTAATTTATCTGTTAGACGTTTATCATAATAATGTACCAGAAATCATTTGTGTAATTTATGTAAATTGAAATTAATCTTTAAAATGTATGAAAACATTAGGATACTATTTACAAAACATGTTCTCCACTTGAAAGCAGCCTCATTTAAAGACTTGGCTGAACTAATTTATGCCTTATAGTTTCATAAGAAAATTATTTTAACTTACTTATATCTGGAATTTGTAAATTGCTATATAGTAAATTTATCTCTTCATAAATTTTTTTTATCTTCATTAAATAAAATCTACATTAACTAAGAGAATAATTTAAAATTAGGTTTTTAAACTTATGTAATTTTTTAAAACAAAATTTCCCTTTTATGTTGTTTATTCATGTCAAATTATAAAAACTATTTTGTTTAAATATTCTTGAAAAGAACAGAACTAGTTTTTACTAAATTGTCTGTGCTATCATAGTTCATTTTCAACTTAATTTTCTTCAGGGCACCCACAAGTGGGAGATTCCAATTTCCTTAAAATGTTACATGTTTTTGGAAAACCAGTGGTTTTAATGAATTTTGTAAAAAAAATTAGTCACTTTTTTGGCAAAAACTTGGAAATATCCTTTGTCAAAGTGTTGGTCTTTAGAATTTTCATAATCATATAAATATAGTTATAAAACTAATTTTATTCATAACTTTCTGGAAAAAAAATTTTTGATTGTAAAATTAAATTTTGTAATTAATAAAAAAATTCATTGAAAACAATAATTTTGGTTTTTTAGGGAAAATCTGGCAATTAAGCTGTCAAGACTATTTTTTTTCTCTGTGAAACCAAACTGAAACAATTTGATGACTATGTTGAAACAAAATGGTATAAGTTGAAATAAAATATTAAAGTTTTCAGTTTAATTAAGATCTATTATATTTAATTTTGCTTTTATTACTCAGGAGTACTATTCAAGATACAGTCTAAAGTTTAGTACAAGATTCCCTCCCTGAACAGTATTACTCAACTCTTTCAATGTTATTTTTTATATTTTTTAAAATACCATAACATCTACTATATCCTCAATAATAGTAATAATTCCTCAATTAGTAATATCCTCAATTATAGTTTTTAGACATATATCGTTAATGTTTCGATTGTTTTAAAAAATATACTTAACACCTTTTGATTATTAATTAAATATAATTTATTATTATTGTGTTTTTCTCTTCCAAAGTGAGCTGTTGAAACTTTTACTGTTTTGTTAAATCATTGTCAGATCGTTCCTTTTTTTCCTTCTTAATCCCATCTGTAGGGGAAGTTTATTTGATAGTTGCTTGAACTTAATGTTCCATATTTCACTTAAAACCATATTTCTTATTCTACTCTTTTCAATTTCCATGTAGGTCTTTTTGTAGTTTATGTATTGAATATATGACACCAAAAGGCACATTTAAAAAGGTAATATTATTTTTTCTTATGAGCAGTTTTTATTAATTACATGATTATTTATGCTCAAACTATTTAAAAATATTATCTGAAGTGTATAGATTGTGCTATTTTTTTATTTTCTAATGTATAGGCAATCAGCACAATACTGGATACTTTTCTACCTGTAAACTAGGCTCAAAAGCCTTAAAAATGGGGTACATTCAGTTATAATCTAGAAATAAAAATACCCATTGCTCTAAAGCTGTCCCTTCTTTAAAAAAGGGCATATTTTTAGTTAATTTTCTGAAAGAAGTTTCAACTGCAGTGCTGAATTGGTTAAACTCTGTATTTGAGTCATATTTCAAGTTTTATTTTGAGGACATTCAATGATTTTTTTAATTCACGAACTAATAGGCTGAACAAAAGCAAGTGTTTTAGTATTTTTTATTATATGAATGATAAAGACTCCATTAAAGACTTAAAAAGTAATAGTATTATATACTTGATTTTGTTTTTCGTTTGTATACCTGTTTAAAAAGCATTACAAAATGGAAATATATACAGAGAAAAATCCAGTATTCAGAATCAAGTTGACTTCTGCAAGTCCAGATAATAATTTTTTCCTTATAATAGACCCCCACTATAAACAAAGGTCTCAGCAAGTCTTATACAATTAAAACATAAACAATAGACATAATTTTTGGGTGAATAACGTTTTATTATTTGAATGATATCTAATGGGTCAAAAAAATTTTGAAAAGAAGAATGATTACTCAAAAACTTGAAAATTAAGAATAACAATTAATCATAGTTAAACAAATATATTAATCACTTTCTCCACCATTTTGAACGAGATTGATTGTGGCAAGATGTGGAAATTACAGTAGTCTTTGAAGTTGAATAGATGGAAATGTGGGGAGGGAGAGAAAAAATTATTTCAAACCAAAGTTAAGGGGTGGCATGTTGATTTCATTTTTCACCTTAAGTTATGAGGACATCTTTTGTGCATGCATATTGGTAAACATTAGGTGGAAGGAAATTTTTAAGAAAAATACATCGCTATGCTTTACTATACAATTAAGTAAAAAGAGTAAAGTGAAAACAAAATTTTAATTTGAATACTGAAACGGCTAAAATGCTGCTCTTTTTTTTATTCAATAAATGTATGAATACTGTTATTCTGTATTAATTACTTAAAAAATATTTTGAAAAACTTAGTTTTAAACACTAAGTGAAGGAAATGACACCTTTAAAATAAACTAGCAACAAACCTATCAAAAATAAAAAGAAATATAGCTTTAACACTGAAGTGCCTATGTCTAATTTTCTAAGCAATTCCTTGTTTTTCTTTAATTGATAAAAAACATTTCTTCATATTTTTAAACTTATGTGATTGCATTGTTGGTAAAATAAAAGCAAATTAACAAAGATAACTGAATAAAAAACTTAATACCTGCAACAATAACTGAATGAAAGCTTAATAAAAATAACTATAATTCCATTAAAACTTAATGAAAATGAACTTAAAAAAACTTAATACTTGAACTGAAAACTTAATAAAAAATATCTTATCAAAAATTTAAAAAACACACAGTTGAAAATCCCAATTTCATAACTCACAAAGCTAGATAGGGTAAAAATGAACAAGTATGACATCTTAAATTGCTTTAAATATGAGATGTTTGGCAAGAGGAATTATTTCCGGAGTATTTTGTAAGGCTTATTTCACCAAGGTCAATTACTATTCCTATTAATGTATTTGCAGGTGCACTTCAAGTTTGAGGGAAAGATAGAAATAAAAAGAGAATGAATTTTGGAGAAATTTAGTTAAATTCTTGGTTGGGAACAAAGGGACTTTCATTTGTTAAGGTCATATTTCATTAGAAGGGAAGTCAATTGCATGTCAATCATAAAGAAGGAACGTTTCCCCATCCCCTAAATATTTTAATGAGAGATAAGGATATGGGGAGGAAAGAATGTTTTTCAAGGACATATATCTTTCAAAACTATTCTAATTTTAACTGGCATTGCGTTTACCTTTATCTTTTTTATTTCTTAAGTAGTTTTTCTTTTCTTATCAAACAAAATTAAAGAGGATCAAAGTAGTGCCTTTTTTCTAGCCAGCTGCTATACTTGTTTGGACATCACTAGAGTAGGGGGATTTAGTTACACTCTTTTAAATGTATATCCCTCTTTCTGCATTCCGGAAGAACAGCACCCGCTGGACCGTCTTAGTAGTTCTCTTCCCCTTCTGGTGATTTATGAGTTAAATGCATAAATTACCAGAAGCTAAAAGTAGAGAACATATGCCAAAAGAAGGTGATCAAAAATAAGTGTGAAATACTGTGAGCAACTTTGTATTGATACTGTGAGCAACTTAATGTTTGAATCCAAGCGCAAAATCTCCATTTGTGCATCTGTGAAGGCATCTTTTTTTTTTAACCAGAGGGACAAATACTTTGGGGGGAAGAACAACTGTCAATGCAAAATCTTAACACTATAGCAGGCAAAACTGTCATTTTGGCTGCAATTGAACTTTAAGGAGTACTAATATTTAAAACAATTATTCCTGCTTACTTTACTTTTGTGGCTTTTCCCAACTATTTGAAGTTTTTAAAAGCATAAAGGGAAAATTTTATTTGGTAATATAACAAGTGGGTAAAATAAAGTTCTGCTAGAACGGTCAAAACTGTCAAAATAATCGCTATAGAGATTTGAGTGAACTGCTTTAAGAATGCTCTTTGCACTCCTCTCTTAAATTTTTTTGTTGGTTAATGCATCTGACTAGAGCAACATTGTACCTTTTTTTACCATTTGTGATAAAATGTCACATAATTATTTCAAAAAGATTCTGCAGTTTGATATTAAATCGACTTATAAGATTGTTTTAAATCTCATTAGGGTGTTACAATTTGGAAAAGTTTAAAGATTATTTTATTGATTTTGTAGGTTCTACGTGCCACTATTTGGCTATGTTATCTTTGTGAGTTGGATTCCAAAGATAAGTGTCTAATTCGACCTAGAAGACTAGTGACATCACATCAAAATGTAGTAATACCAATCTTGAGAAAAAAGAATTTAATTAATGTGCTTGCTCATTCTGATACAAGTAAGAGTTGTACTCCATTTTTGATGTTCTATTTTCTGTGAAATATAAATTAATTTACCTCTACTCAATAATTAATAGTAAAATTGCTAGAAATTTTTCGAAAATTCTTATTGAGGCTTGTGAATTCTTTCTGTTTGAAATATGCTCATATTTTATAGCTATAATATATTCATATTTTATAGCTATAAAATATGAATTCATGTTTTTTTTTTGAAAAATATTAATATTTTTCTTGCAATTCATAGAGGTTAGCCTCTAAAAAAGACGCATTTTGAGACTTCAAGAGCTAAATTTATCTTTTAAATTGTGTCGTCCAATCTCATTTTTTTTCTCGTTCAAATGATTTGTAGTATTTTCTGCTGCTATATTTTAATTGTTTTGTCTTCAGAATATGAAATCAAACAATTTTTTAAAATTTAGTTTGCTAAGTTTTGACATATGATTTTTTTTTAAAAATTGTGTTTTTATGAAAATGGCAGTTAGATGGTATTGCCAAATTAATATTTCTAAAATTAAAGCATGTATGCTATAATATGAAATATTTTTAATAATACTTCTTTGGGAAGTTTTATGCTAATTTTATTCATACTTTAAAGTTTGACGCAAAATTTTGCACTTTAAAAGCTGCAGCTATCATACCTGCCAAGGCACCTGTTTTTTAATGAAGACTCCAGTATTTTACGACTATCTCATGTTTACTCGTATATTTTCAAATTTATTTGTATTCGTTGAAAAAATTATTTACAAAAAATAATTTCAAAAAAATTGGCCATAAAACTTCCTTTGGCAAAAATACTTCTCTTATTCCTCAACAGGTGATACTATTGCCAGTATTGCATTATGTTGAGTTTATAGTTTGAGTAATCATAAATAATGGTTTTAAAAAAATCTTCTTTAGATTTAGATTTATATGCATATTTTTTACTTAGCTAAATGTAAGTGCTTTTATTATTTCCAATTTTGACTTACTTGATTTTGCATGATGTATCAAGACTTTACTCTTAGTCTAAAAAATGTCGCTAGTAAAATCTGTTATTTTATTTCTCCTATGTTGGCAGGTATGAGCTATTATCTATAATAAAATTATACCTAGATGCAAAACCTATCAATTATTATTGTGTCAAAACGAGGGGGAAATGTGGTGATAAGAAAATATATTATTGAACTCGTTAAATATTTTTTTAATTGTAACTATATACCAGTTTTTAACTACGTTAATTCTGTTTAAATAAGGAGCTTAGTAGTAAATGGAATATGCACAAAATTCGATACAAGACTCTATTTCCTTGTATAAGGAAGCATATCTATTACAAGAACGCAAACATATCTTACAATAATATAACTTATAACATCTATTATGAGTGCTCAATTGTAGATAAATTGACTGATTTAACATATTAAGTTAATGTTATTAAAACAATTATTAAATTTACAAGAAATAAATGTGTCATTCATTATAAAAGTTAAGTATATTTTTTTAAATAAATTACGAAATAACAAGCTTTTTGCAAATTTATAATGTTTATGAAAACAGATATGAAAATTCAGTCAAAGCAATTTTTATTGAATTATCGGAGTTGCATCCTTTTTTACAATTATAAAATATAAATAAATGTGATATAATAAAGCATAAATAGGAGCAACAAAATAAAAATAAAAACAGGGGAAAGTACACAAATTTTAAAGAACTAGTTTATTCATTCTCTTTCCAAAATAGGTTTAAGAGAGCTATCTTTCTCACACATTAGACTTTGCCTATAACGGACCAAAAAAAAAGTTTTTTTTCTTCTGGTCATCCACTGTGCAAATCAATAATGTTGCATCATAGATTGAATATTTTCAAATTCCTGATTGACTCCTTTTCAATTATAAAAATAATAAATTGACCTTCAAAAGTTTAAAAATTCATTGTGATACTATTCTGTTCTAAGGAGCCATAGAACAATTGTCATACTATTACTGGCGTAAGTGAACTTAATTAATTGTGGTATAGTGCCCGCCGTTTATTAAAATCACTTTCGTTTTATGCTCTTTTGATTTTATTGAGCGGCTGATTTTATTAAGAGGCGATTGAACATTTGAAAAAAAATAAAAATTTTACGATATATTCTAAATGCACACACTTTAAGAGCTGAAATAATGACCACATTAATGCTTTATTTTAACTAATTTAATTATTTTAATAAAGTAAAACCCTACATAAGATTAAATTTACAAAAGTTTTGCAAAAAACCGATCAATGGTTGCTTGAGTTGCAGTATTTAAAATTAACTTTTCAACATCATTTGAGAGTTTATAGAAGTTTTTATAGTTTTCAATATTCCTCCTCTTTGTTCTAAAGCTTGCCGCAATACATTAAGTGCTTTTCTGACTTCCATTGAAGATGGCACTGATGAGTTTATTTCATCTTCTGAGTCTGATTCCTCCATTTCTTGATGGGAAATAACTTTGCAATTTTTGATGTCTGTAACAATTTCAGAATCAGATTTTTCTCCTGATGTTTGCAGGTTATCGTCAATAGCTACGTAACGTGAAAAATTCTCGTCCATTTCATTTTCTTCATTGCTGATCATTTCTTCGAAACAGTTATGAGCCCCATCTCCATTGAAGCTTCACGTTGACTACATTTAGGAAGCTTATCATAGTTTTGCAACACTTCGAATTTATCTTTAAGACTCAAATCCTTCCTTTTCGGCATGCTGATAAAATTTAACACCAAACGAACTTAAAAATGATATGTGCTCTAACTCTAACTATAATTTACTCAAACGGCTTAAATAATATGGAACATGAGCACAGACAGTTTTTGGAAATCTATTCATGTTCTCTGTTAAGATAGATAACAAAAGAAACTTCTCTCCCTTCTATGGTTCATTCAATAAAAAGTAAGATAAGAATTCGATCCCCTGTTGAGTGAGATAGGTTTCTCCAAACTTCATTCAAGCCAAGGAATTAACATTGATAAATTGATTTCTATGAACTCGCCGCTTACCACCCACATTTTTCCTTAACTCTTACACTATGTATATCGCAGGAAAGTGCTAACCACACCTGTTTCACAGGTTTGTGAGTAACTGTTGCTTCTTCTAAAAAAATCTTTAAACTTCGAAAAAATAAAATTTTATAAATAAGAACAAAAAAAGCTGAAATATTGCACCTTTGATTTATTATGTAGTCAAAATTTTGATTTTAAAAAGCGGCAGCATTGATTTTATTAAGGGATGTTTTTAACATGTATTAATATTGTAACGATTCGGTTCTTGCCGATTTTATTTTATAAAGCGGCTGATTTTATTATCCGGTGATTTTATTAGCGGCGGGCACTGTAATGGCAGTTAGGTTAAAGCACTGAACTGTTATTGTGAGAAACTGGGGTTTTATCATTAGTTAGTGTTGGTTTGAAACCTACTCAGCTTCAGTTCATTGTGTATGAGCTTAATTGGGAAAGAAAGGTAGTTACTCAATGCTAACCATATTATCATCTTCATGACAATGGTCACAAAATTATTAAGTTTTAACCTATATGACCATCCTGGCTCATAACATGCTGCTGTGGGAATACTGTATACTTTGATAGGTACTACTGGTATTGTGATAATAGGTTTTTTTATGGCCTCTTGAAACAGAATAATATCCTTCAAGACATGAAGAAGAAAAAAGAATGAGAGGTATAGGGAATCATCTTTCCAGTGCAGGTGAAACTGTTTCATTTAGGCGCATGTGTTGCACTATACTTCTTTTTCATTCAAAACTCATCAACCTGAATTGGCATAGTATTTACTTGAAAAAAATAGTGGCAGAAATAGTGATATATGATACTTTAAAATTTAACTCAATAAAATAAAATGTTCAACTTCTGATTAAATAAAAAAAATATTCCTCCTCCTTAGATAAGTGTTGGTTTCAATTATCAATGTTTAAAATCATTTAAGCCAAGGCTGATCTCTGAATTAAGGGTATGCATGCTCCTATTGTTATCGTCCCGCAGTGGACTGATCGTTAAGACATGGTTCCCAGCCCTA